AGATATCTATCACGTCATTCTGACTAGTTCAAATGTAATTAGATATCCGCAAATGCCATTATAGATGTCTTTAAAAGTTGAAGATATCTTGATTTGGAATTGTGACCTGTCAGAATGAAATTGTATGTATCTCAAAATGGAATTACAGATAGTCATAATGTAGTTTCAGATCTCCACATCTCACATTGTGGATATCCATAATTGAATTAAAGGTATCTGTACATGAGAAACCGGTACACATCAATGGGGGAAGTGACGTCATTCGTCCTCGGAGGAATTACGTTGTGGATATCTGTAATTACAATTGTGGATAGGAATAAGGTCATTGTGGATATCTGAAATGTTCATTTTGACTAGGAAGAACTGAATTGCGGATATCTGCAGTACTTATCCAGACCAGCTATTAAATGTTAAAGAGAGCCTGCCATAGGGGGACTTCCGGTGAAGCGAGAAACCAACATGGCTGCTTTTANCACAACTCTCACACTCTCAGCTCTTCATTCTGGACGCACCTCAAACCTTCACACCTATACAAGTCAACTTCAAGCTTTAACCTCTCATGGCCTCAACACTTCTTAAAACACATTCATCTCTTTCACTTTGTCGCTGGACATTCTCATTCATCCACACTGTGCTCATGATCACAGGCTCACATTTTTACCTCAAGAATAAATACACACTCACTTCTAATGGAGAAGCAGTGATGTTGCAAGATCTCAGGACACAAACTGGAATTGTTGTGCTTGATTATTCTTTCTTTTGTACATTGTAGTAAATATAATATGTGTTGTTTGATTAGTACAAAATAATCAATTGATGCCACAGAATTGAATCATCAGTTCTGTGTTTGACTTCTTTCTTCTGTATATTGTAGTAAAGGGCTCCTCTTTATAGAATGGCACCACGTTGGGAGCTGAGGCTTTGGATTGATTCTGTCATTTGCTCCAGAACATTTTCATAAAGTCCCGTTTTACTAAAACTCACGCGAGACTCTTCGATCAGGGAGTAGTCCGTTTCCGGCTCCGTTGCCCTGACAACAGTGACGTCACCACCCTACCTGCTTTCCAGGTTAGTTAAGTTTCACTTTGTCAGTCGTTGTGTCGCAGCTGCTTTTCTCCGTCTGAAGGTCAGTAAACGATATTTTAAACTGTAAATGTGGCTCCACAGCTCTAATAGTCAGCTCCCGCAATTTACCGTAGATTAGTTAAAGTCAGGATTAAACAACGAGGAGCCGTACATTATATTATTGTTCATATATATTAGTCTAAAACACCACGACGTCGTGTTTTAACTCCGCTGTGTGCATTCAAACCGTATAATGTACGGCTCCTCGTTGTTTAATCCTGACTTAAATAATGTCATCAAGTATACTGATGGTCTTTGTAGCGGCTCAGCCGACATGATGACAAGTCTGGACTGATGGTTTAACACTTTTTAATCTCTCCTCCTTTTCTCCTGTCACCAACGTAAGAGCGACACACAAGTACGTAACATCAACACATTGAATTTAGCTAAAGCACATTGCTAAAACTAGTCCACACTAAACATAAAATAAACTGACAATTAGACACAATTAAAAGTTTTTCCTTGTTGCCCTCTCTAAGGCCGCTACATTCATGAATCTCTCCCGTTCGCCCTTTTATGTTTTGTCTCTTAACTTTGCGTCGTAAATATGTATTTATTATACATATCTATGGTTAAAGAAACAACACATGTCTATGGTTGGCGTCGACGTTACTTTTTTCAGTTTCCGTAATTTCCGTCTGATGTCCCTTCAAAACAAAAGCACTTCCGATTTACTTAAATAACGAAATTAAAAGCATAAAACAATACATGACAGATTTAAGTTAACACATTACTGAATTAGAATAATAACAACATTCAATAACTACAGAATAAGTATCATTTGAGTTACTTACAGTCATTAAAACACAATATTTTTTATTTGTCACCACAAAGCTAACTTTAGCTCACTTTGCTCAGTGACGACTAACTAGCATTATTCTGTCCACAGAGTTTAGCAGCTGTCAGACTGCTGCTAGCAGTTAGCTCGCTTGCTAACGTTCACTTCAGCTACAAAGAAATCCTCTGATACGTTACTTTATGTTGACTTCAGGTTCCACTAAGGTTAATGTCGTAGCCAGAGACGGCGCCCTCGTTGACTCACTGGTGGTGATTTTATTTCTGTACTTCAGTAAATAANGAAGCCAAAGCCAGGATTTCTAGCGTGGAAGATGCTAGCAGTAGCCGAGGTGCTACTCCTGGGGGGCTGTAGGCCAGGAATCCTCTTCATCAGGATGCATTGTGGTGTCTTATTTAGAGGAGGTGAGCCACGTGTTTTTATTGGCTTGCGTTTGTGTTATATGGTGTTCATGTTGTGTTGAGGTGGGGCGCTGCAGTTTGTGTAAGTTTTGATGTTTTTGGGGAACATATTGCAGCAGAGCAGAAGCTTTTTAAGCGTCTTATAGTCGTAATGCTTGAAGTTATCTGGATATAAACATCTCCACGTGTATTATGGGTGAACTGGTTAGACTGACATCATTAAATGTTAAGGGTGCAAACTCAGCTGTCAAAAGAAAGATTTTAATGTATGTATAAAAACATGGATTGTTTTTTTTTTTTTTTTTAAACAGGAGACCCATTTGGAAAGGGAGGAGTCTTTGCTATTTCAAAGGGACTGGGTTGGGAAGGTCTGTTCCAGTGCAGGGTCCTCTAGCCAGAGACAGCTGGTGGCTTCATTAATATGGAAGAATCTTAACATTAAAATACTGAAACACCTGTCAGATGAAGAAGGGAGATGGATCGCTTGAGATGCTGAACTTTATAGTTTAAGGTGCATGTTCATGAATGTTTATGCTCCAACTGGAGGCTTACCTGGCTTTTTTGTGGAGGTTAGTAACATAATTACACAGCTGGGTAACGCACTGATAACATTAGGTGAGGACTTCAACAACGTTGGGGACCTAGGGTCGATACAACTTATACATTTGACAGAGTGAAAGAGACAAAAAAAAAAAGGATGAAAACCCAAGAAATCCACTGTGATCTATGAATTCATTGATTTGTGAATGTTTTATGTTTGGTTTTGTTTCCAGATTGCGACCAGCGAGCCGGGATCTTTCAAACCGTGGGCCTTGAACCTCTGAAAGTCAAACTGAAGCCAAACCGCTTCACTAACCAACACAGTTATCTGACTAATAGTGCTAACGTCTCCACATGCAAATGATCAACAAACATGAAACTCATGACTGAAATCGTCCTGCTCGCTGATCCTTAACCGCCTAAAATGTGAACTTGATGCTTCGTGACCGCTTGATTTGACAGTTTCTCTGTAGCAAAATAAATAAGTGAACAAACAATAAAGGCAGCGCTTCATCTTTATTCACCCAGTGGCAGGAAAAACACTGGCAGCAGAAGCTGAAGTCAAATGTTTGCTGAACTAACGCACATCTGTCTTCTTGTGGACCGAGGCTGATCAAACGTCGATGCACCACGCGGCTGCAGCGTCGCCGGTCGGAGATGAAACCTGCAGGAAGAAGAAGAAGAAGAAGAAGAAGAGCAGTTAATGAGGTGTTTGACAGGAGGAGGTTAGAAAATGCAAGTAAGGAGACAGTTCTGGGTGAAACATGCGGCATTAACGCTGTGTTTAAGGTTGTTTCAGAGTGAAAATGGACAAACTGCAAAAAAAAAAAAAGGCTTCATTTGTTCTCTTGGTGGTTTAATCTATAAATTGTTGAAAAATAGTTTAAAAACTAGCATTTTTGTTCGCGTAGAATGATGTTAAAGCTTAAGATGCTCATTTTAATGTCACATATTGCAAATAAAAGTTTTAAATCGTCACATGTAAGAAACTGGAATCATTTGACATTTATACCTGAAAAGTGACAAAATACAGGTTAAACGTTCAAACAGTCTGTTTAGTGCACAAGAAGTGTAATTATGTTTGTGAAATTGTTAAAAAAAAATTTTGTTTTAATTTTGATTATTATGGCCTAAAGAAATTCAGTAACTCAAAATATTTTTATATTTCCTAAAATCAATCCAAAAAAAGGAGAATATTCAATATAATATTTCACTACAATATTTTGTGATACTGGATTTTGGATTTTCATGAGCTATAATCAAAATTTAAACCAAATTGAATGTTTTACACTGCATATAATTAAATGTATAGTTGAATTAAATTACCAAAAAAAGGATCTTTTAACGGTCGTCTATCGTTGCTGATTAGTTCTCCTGAAAATACCAAAGTTGGCATCGTTGATACTCACGCTGTTTATGTGCAAAAGCTTCATTTGTTGAGAATATTTAGTATAAAGTTGGTTAGAATCATTTCATCTTGTTAGTTTGCTGCTGTTGAAGAATCAAACAATCAAGAGTCAACTAATTTAAAACTGAAGCTACACAAAAAAAGGCAACAAAAAACCCCCCAAAATAATCAAACATTACAAAAAAAAATAAAAAAATAAATAAAACTTGCGAAAAAGGTTGTTTTTTCAAACTTCTTACACCAAAAGACTCACACTGGCAGTAAGACGTGCTTCCAGTCAATTCTAAAAACTGATCTTTGGATATAAAGACAGATTCCTGGAACAGAATCTGTTCTGCATTTGCTCACCGATCCACTAGTTGAAGCTGACATTCAGTTTAAAATGGTGAACACAAGGTTTACGAAGTAGTTTCTTTGCTCATACAACTGAAAATCTGGAAACAAATGCACTTGCTGGATCATTTCAAGAATAAAGACACAAAACCAGACTTTCTACTGATTAGATCCACAGTTAAACACACTAAGCCACTTTCTTGAACTTTCCTGCACACTTATAGGAAAACAATTACTGAAAAAGCACATTTTTGTTATGAGAAAACTTGATGCTAATGGATAGCCTAGCTTAGCCTAGCTTAGCCTGGCTCTGCTGTCCAGGCGATCGGGTTTTCAGACGACATGAAAACGTCCTCTTGATTCCATTCATGACTCCGCTGCCGGCCTTGAACAGGCGTCACTTGGCTCGTACCATTTTGGTGAACTGGTCCTGACAGGCCATGCGGATCTTCTCCGCCGTGGCCGGCGAGCTCAGCGGGAAAACGTCGCTCAGTCCTGTTTCTTGGCGCGCTGCAGCGATGGCCGCTTTGATGGCGAAGAAAATGGTGCAGCCGAAGAACACCGGAGGCTCTCCGATACCCTGGAACAACAACGGGACGCTAACTTTCACATTGTAGATTGTCTTCTTGATGCTTTTTAGCTTTAATTATAACTAATGAATTAAAAACACAAGAAAGAGCCGCAAAAACATGTTTAGTACTTTATATTGCCCATATATGTGTCAATACGCACAGAGAGGCACAAAAACTGTTTTAAATGTTTCAAAGTTAAGTCAGACTGAAGCTTTGTTTAGACAAAATGACTTGATCCTCTCGGGGTCAGGTCTGCGTACGTCCCAGCATGCTCTGCTACCTTGGACAGGTAGATGGCGTTGGGGTTTCCTGCGTCAGCGAGCAGGTGGACGTTGAGCTCGGCCGGGACGTCGCAGAGCGGCGGGATCTTGTACTGAGTCGGTCCTCTGGTCATCAGGACTCCGTCGGCGGAGAACTGCAGCTCCTCGATGGTGTAGAGGCCGACGCCCTGCACAAAGCTGCCCTCCACCTGCAAATACGCACACGGAGGACGTTTATCTGCAGGCTTGTGGGGCTTGTAGGTGGAGAACAGTGCAAGTGATTGTCCAACATTAGAAAAACACACCAGAGAGGTTTTGAGGGGCAACCTTTTTCCATGTGAAGCAAACATTTAACACTGATTTGGACAAGAAAAAGTCAAGAATTGTAGAATTGTAAATACAAAAACCAGCTGTTTTAATGCAAACAACCAACTGGAGAAGTTTGATGTTGATCTCTATTATTTAGATCTTTCAACCAGATGTTTCTTAATGAAGACAAAGAACATGATGTAACGTTACCTGTCCAACGTCCAAAGCAGGATTGATGCTTTTCCCGACGTCCATGACGATGTCCGTGCGGATGTTCTGTGTGTGTACAAAAACACACTTTAATTAAAATGTTTGTTTGTCTGACGTTTGAGTACGATTTTAAAGCAGCACATCGGACGCTTGTACAGTCAAAAACATGATTTATTTGAGCTTTCAAAGAGACCATTGTATACGTTTTTACCTGCCTGAATCAAATATCTATCCATCGACTGCAGACTCCTCTTTCAGCCTCTTTAAACCGACTCCCAGTTTGTTTTAGGACACATTTTAAGATGTTACCGATAAACTTTAAGGCTCTTTTCGGCCCAGCTGTATTTATTTTACTCATTTACTTCAGCTGTCTTTTATAATGTTCTTATAGGGGTTTTGTTTGGGTTTTAATCCCACAAATGTTGTTTTAAAATCCGATTTTGTGACTTTTCTGGCTTTTTTTTTGCCTCCCCAAGAAGCACTTTGTAGCTTGGGAGTTTGAAAACTGCTCCGTCAATAAGGATTATTTATTATTA